TATGTCTTTTATTTTTTCTGTTGTTATATATGGATAACTTTTTTCCCATTAAATCTTCTAACTGGTTGTTTGAATATATAAAAACTACTGATTTTTGCACATTGATTTTGTACTTGATTATTACTGAATTGTCTTATTGTTTGTAGTAGTTTTGAATAAAATCTCTTGAATCTTCCAATTATACCACCATGTTGTCTACAATCAGTGATATTTTTACTCATCTCTTCCAATTTTTACACCTATAATTTTTTTCTCTTGGGTAACCGTGTTGACTTACAACTGAGGCACAATGTTAAATAGTTAAATCGTGGCGTTAGTGGATACGAGGCAACACGGTGAAGGCATTTCCACGAAAGCCAGGAATATCATGATGGCTTCGGATTGAAATAGATACATTTTATCATGATAAGATAGTCTCCCTCTATTTCTATTTCATTCAATATTTTCTTGATTGTTTTGTTTGTTTGTTGTATTGGGAAAGGGTGATGAATTTTGTTCAATATTTTTTCAGCATCTATGGAGAGATCCTATGATTTTTTCTTTAGATTTGTCAGTATGATGAACTGAATTCATGGAGTTTCTAGTATTGAGCCATTATGATCTCATTTGGTAATGATTTTTTTTAATGTGCTCCTGGATTCTTTTTGCTAATATATTATTTAGAATATTTGCATCATTATTAATAGTGTGATCAGTCTCTTGTTAGTATGATCCAAAAATGTTATCTATATGATTGAATTTTTTAGACTTTGTTAAAGTTTTCTATTTGCCCTTTTTGAAAAGAAAGTATATTCTCTATTTTCAGGGTACGGTGTTTATAATATATCAGTCACTTGTATTATATCAATAATGATATTTAAATCATTCTATCCTTATTTATTTTTTGTCCATTTGATTGTCATGCACTGGAGAGATAAATTGAAGTCTCCCAAGATTAGCATGTTCGTGTTTATTACTGTTTATATCTCCTGTAATTTCTGCTATATGAATGTTGGTGTTATGTTATTTGGTGCATAGATATACTTAATTGTAATGTCTTTATTGGGAATTGCACACCTTGCTGTTATTAAGTTCTCTTCTTTGTCTTATTTAATGAGATTTGTCTTGACTTCCACTTCATCTGATATTAAAATTATGACTTCTGCTTTATATTATTTATCTTTGTTTGGTAGATCTTTGACCATTCTTTTATCTTAAGACTTTATCTTAGATTTTTCTTTGTATTTGGCATAAAGTAGGGTTTTACTTTGTGATTTAATCAGTAAAAGTTTTCCTTTATATAGATGAATCAAGACAATTTACATTTAGTGATATGACAGAAATGTTGGGCCTTAGTTTTGCTATTATTTTATATCATGTTTTTCTTTTATAACTTTTTAAATATGTCTATTACCGCATGGTCTGTTTGCTTTGTCTGCTATTTGATTTCAGTGTGAAATTTTGTTGGGATTTAGGGAGGTTATATTTTTATTTTAATATTTTCATAAGTGTATCTTTACATAGTGCCATTAGTCCTAATCTACTTTAAACGGAATCTGTTAGTTTCCTCTTATGACCAATGAGAAACGTAGCTTGTTTACTATTTTTTCTGCATCTCTCTCTTTCATTCTCCAATTTTAGTCAATTATCTTTCTTTTCTTTTCTTTTTTTCTTTCTTTCTTTCTTTTTTTTTTTGCTGAGGAAAATTAGCCCTGAGCTAACATCTGTGCCAATCTTCCTCCACTGGGTTGCTGCCACAGCATGGCTCACAAGTGTAGGTCTGCACCCAGGATCCGAACCTGCAAACACAGGCCGCTGAAGCATAGCGCACTAAACTCAACCACTACACCATGCTGCTGGTCCCAGTCAGTTATCTTTCTTAATGTTTTCTTTTGTAGAGTTATATATGCTTATAAATCAGTTTTAAATTATAGCATTTAACTCTTGGCTGTTGCAGATGGAAGAACTTACAATTTCACTCACATTCTTTCCCTTTTCTCTCCTTTTTTTTTTAAGTTGAGTTATTTTATTGTCAGGTATATACAATTTACATTATGTTTTTTCACCATAAACTGCAACTCCTGTTAGTCTTAACTGTAAAGTTAAATACATTCCACAGTCACTACCAGTCCTTTTGCTGTAGTTTGTCCAGATCATCTTGGCGGGCTGAAGTTTTTCCTCTAGTAGTTTCCCAGAGAAGTGTCCATGAGAACAGTACTCCATGAATTCTTGCATATTTAAAACATCTGTAATTTTTATTCTTGAGGTTCACTTTGGCTAAATATAGAACTCTCAAATTCACCCTTTCTCTGTGGAGTATTTTGCAGGCATTGCTCCATTGTTTCTGGTATTGATAATTGCTGTGACAAAATTTGATTCCAATATAATTTCCTTCCTTTATAAGTAACTTCATATCTTTACCTGATGTCTAATTCTTTATTTCAAGCATTTAGTAATTTTATTAGTATAAGGCTAGTTACTGAATATTGTGGGTCAATTTTTTTCTGTCATAGCACAGTGTGCCCTTGCAGTATAGATTCCAATCTATATTTATTTATTTATTTTATGTGTGTGTGTGTGTGTGTGTGAGGAAGATTGTCACTGAGCTAACATCTGTGCCAGTCTTCCTCTGTTTTGTGTGGGATGCTTCCACATCATGCCTTGATGAGTGGTGCTATATTGATGCCTGGGATCCAAACCTGTGAACCTCAAGCCACTGAAGTGGAGCACACAAACTTAACCACTATGCCACTGGGCTGGCCCCCTCAAATCTATATTTAAACAAATTTTTCTTAAGTTGTAACTTTAAATATTCATTTTGTTAAAATTTTCTAGTTTTTTTGTGGGTTCTCCCTGTATACAAATGTTGGATCTCTTTTGTCAGTCTTCCATTTCTCCTATTTTTCTCTTTTCACTCTTTAGTTTCATTCACTTTGTTTGCTTTCTTACCTCTATGTTCCTTACTGTGCTTTTGCTATGTCTATTCTCCTTGATCATTCCAACTTTATATTCACTTATAGTATGATTTTTAGATTCTACTTCTTTCCTGACTGGAGTAGCATGGGTGGGGCTGATGGGGAAGGGATCAGCATGTAGGTGAACAGAGTAGTAGAGGATGAGTTTGAAGAGTCAAGAGGCAGGTACATCATGTAAGCCTCAGGCTATGACAAGGAGTTTAGACTTTATTCCAAGTGTGATGGGAAACTATTGGAGGGTTTTGAGCACAAGAATGACATGATCTGATATGTGTATTAATAGGATCACTCTGACTTCTGTGTAGAGAATAGATTGTAGGGAGGTAAGAGTAGAAGAAAGGAGACCAATGAAGAGGCTACCAGAGCAATCTCAGTGGCTTGGCCAGGGTAATGGTGTAGAGCTGGTAAGAAGTGATCAGATAGCAATTTCCCTTTTCCTCCATACATCACATAGTGTTATGGCAAATTAACCCACATATTTTTAAACACACGTGTGCATTTACAAGTAGCTCTTCAGCTGAAATGTATGTGGCCTGTTTAGGTAGCATTCATTCATTTAGCAAACATTTATGGATGACTGACTTAGTGCCAGCACAGTTCTAGGAACTAGCAATGCAGTGATGGAAAAGATGCAGCCCCTGCCCTCAAGGAATCTGTAGTTTTGCAGGTGAATATAATAATAAAAATAACTAATATTAAGTGAGCAAGCATATGTTCTAGGTAATGTTCAGAGCTTTTTCCACACAATATCTCATTTATTCTTCAGAACTTTGTGAGGTTGGAGCTATTTTTACCCTTACCTTACAGGTGAAGTTATTAAGGGTAAGAGTGCTTAAGTACCTTGCCTAAGTTCTCACAGCCAGTAAATGGTTGAGCCAGATTTTAGCCTAGGCTAAACAACTGAGCAAATAGATAAGAAATATGAAGAAACATGGTAGAGAAAATGGGGTAAATGGGGAAAGCCCCTCTTTCCCTGAGGATGTTTGAGCAGAGACCTGGTGCACGTGCAGGAACCATCCACACGAGAGCTAAGGTTAAAGCATTCCTAGGCAGAGTGAGTAACAAGCATGAAGATTTGAGAACAGAAAGAGCCTGATACGTGAGGAACAGATAAGAAGTCTGGATGGCTGGAGCATGGGCAAGAGAGAAGAAACTGGTACAAGATGAGACTGGAGATCCAGTTATGGCTTGAAAGGGTACAGTGGAATGGGAGAGACCAGTTAGGAGGTTATTGCAAGAGTCCACTTAGGGGATCGCTTAGATTACATAGTGGCAGTGGAGGTAGATGGAAGTGGACGGATCTGAGATAAATTCTGGAGGTTGAATTAACAGTACTTGCTAATGAAGTTGATAAGGGGAATAAGAGAAAGGAAGGACTCAAGGATAATTCTTAGTGTAAATGTGCAAGAACATCTGAACATGAATCTATTACATGAATTGATTAAAAATAATTCAGCCTTAGATGTTTGAATTAATATGTTGGGAATGAAGATGGAGTCAGTTGGAGGTTAATGGGGAAACAAACATTTATTAATTAACTAGCAGACAGATACTTCACATAGCATCTCTTTTATTGTGTATAATATTCACTCATTCAACAAATATTTGCATGCCAGGCAATGTCTTAGGTACTGAAGATAGAGCAATTAGGGGGAAAAACACAAAAACCTCAGATTCTCTGTTCTCATGAAGTTTACAAGCTGGTGGGAACTTACATTCTCTATTACTTGTATTACCTAGGTATTATTCCTGATTTTTCAGATGAAGACTCAAGGCATAGAGTGTGTAAATGATTCGTCCAATGTCATATGAAGGGATAGGAGCTAGACTTGACTGTGATCTTTATGATTCTAATATTCATCTTTATTCCTTTACTTTGTGTTGAAAACACAATATCCAGACATGGACCTAGATAGCTATCCATATAACAAGATGTAGATAATCTAGGAAATTGAAACTTTTTCTATTAGAGTGTTTCTTAATTTTTTCTTTGTTCATTCCTGTTTAATTTAAATTGATATTTAAATTTGGCATTTGCAATTACAGGATGCTGATAACAACCTTCTCAATTAGGACTGAAGAAGTGTGTCTAACATTCTGGAAAACACACCACCCAACCCCCCAAGGTGCCTGAGTTTATGTAAAAAGAGAGATTGTCTTCGCTGTCAAGGTTTCCTGCCTCTCACTTCACTCCCACAGCTATGTGTGTGAATATTCAGAAGCAAGGTTGGAGGTAGGAGTCAATTATTTTGGGCGGGTTACTGTATCTGGGCTGTTCACTCTGGGGTGGAGGGAAAACACAGTATAAGTAAAAACAGAGATTTCTGAAATGTTTGAGTTACTATTCTGAACCTTCCAATATAAGACACATTTATTATGAATTATCTTAAATTCAACTTTAACGGCCCCTAAATTGTACATAAAATACTAGCACAGAAGCAGTCTCTGTGCAGGTAAATATCATTAGTGTGTAAACAGGAAAACTTCTTTAGCTTCCATTTCCCTCTGGGTTTTCTAACAGCTCCATTGGTCCTTTTCCGCTTAATGCAAATGCCAGCGTGCTTTTCTCTTCGACTTCTCCACTGAGCCTCCTGTGTGAATAGCTGGATTTTGACCTGCCATTCCTGAACAAAACAGAAATGCTAGTTCTTCGCTGACGGGAAAGCTTACCTGCCATCTGCACATGCTCTTTCTGGCAGCTCCTCGTGATCCTTCAACTCTCAGGAAATCCTTAGAGGAATGAAAAGGACAGGCCCACCCCCACAGCAGAGTGAGTTCCCAGCTGAGTCACATCAGTGGGATGAACGCTGACACCTATATTGACAGGGCTGTTTCATACCCAAGAGCTCCTGCGAATGGCACATGGCTGCTTGGAGCCTGGCACTCCCCCACGTTGGGGGGTAATTTTACCTCCTCAATTTGTTCTTGTAGTTGGAGTGGAAGCTTCGCTCCATCCAACTAACCTTTCTGGATTAAGTGGCGTAAGTGAGAGGAGTGGGAGAGAATACCTGTGGCCACTTGAATTCTGAGAGGACCATTATAGGAGCCTGGCCCTGTGGCCTGCTCAGTGCTACCACCCACACCCATCTAAACAGCCACACCCTGAGTGGCCTGGTCCCAGAGCAGCTGTTTGGACTGCTTGTGTGGCCATACCAGCCCTCAGTAAGAGACAGCCTGCCAAACCCCGGGAAACTTGGAGTTTAGGTGGACTTACTGCTTTCCCAGTAGGCCCTGGGTAGAAAAAAGATGTCGAGTGACATGTGTTCATGGTAGCCAGTGTAATGCTGGTTTGAACATTTTCTGTTTTTGCCAGATTGGTTCTCTGACCAACTGCTTTTTATGAAGATTTTTAAAAATTAAATCTCAGCTGTAACTCTAAGACAGAATAGGGTATAAATAATAAATAAGTAAATAAATGAAAGCTCTCAATTCAAGAAAGTCTACAAATCACATTGTTTACTTAACCAAATATATTAACACCACTTGCCTTTTCAAATAGGTTTTATACAGCATGCTTTAAAACAGACTGGCACTTGTTTTCAAGTTGGAAATGGGCAATTAGAGGATTGGAGATTGGGTGTAGTTTCTTGGTATCAGAGAGACGTGTGTTTAATGCCTGCTCTGCCTCCTCCCCTGTGATCCTGGGCAAGTTACTGAATTTTGCTAAGCCTCAGTTTCCTAGTCTGGAGAATGGGGATAATTGTTATACAGCACTTGTCACATTGGGTTATGGGGGCACTAACTGAGATCTTGCATATAAAATGCTTATCATAGTGCCAGGCACATACAAGGCTATAAGTGAATGTCAGAGGTGATGTTGTTAACGAAGCAGATAACACTACCTGTGATGGGTAATTTTCCATGTCAACTTGACTGGGCTAAGGGATGCCCGGAAAGCTGATAAAACATTATTATTGGATGTGTCCATGAGGGTGTTTCTGGAAGAGATTAACATTTGAATAGATAGACTTAGTAAAGAAGATTGCCCTCACCAATGCAGGTGGGCATCTTCCAATCCACTGAAGGGCCTGAATAGAATAAAAAGATGGAGGAAGGAAGAATTTGCTCTCTGCTTGAGTTGGGACATCCGTCTTCTCCTGCACTCAGATGTTTGTGCTCCTGGTTCTTGGGCCTTTGGACTCAGACCAAATTATACCACAGGCTTTCCTGGGTCTCCACCTTGCAGACAGCAGATCGTGAGACTTCTCAGTCTCCATAATCATGTGAGCCAATTCATATCTATATCTGTACATATAACCATATCTCTAACTATGTCGGTATATCTCTCTCCTCTTGGTTCTGTTTCTCTGGAGAACCCTGACTAATACGCCACCACTATGCTGAATTTTCCCTATTCTGTATAGATTGATAACCACTGAGAGAGTACAGACTATTCAATGATTGGGAATATGAGATTTTGGTCATTAGATCAATTTAAAAAAGAAAACAAGAACTAGATCAATGAATATATAATGTCCTTCACAGATGTATTTATAATGCAGCAAATGGAATTTAGCAAGGGTTTGATTAAGGATCAAGATATTTATTAGTGAAATACTCAGAGGTATGAAAATTAATTCTCTTGTCAGGACCACTTATGTTCAACAAACTAGACGTGCATGTGTGTGTGTGTGTGTTTGCTTTACTCATACTGTGAATTTTTTTCTTGCAGCTGATTTGGAGTGATGACTCTAAAGAAGAGATAAGTTGCGTGTAAGTGTGTGTTCTCAGCCATGGGTAGAACGGGGTAAGGATTTCACACAATTGCAGTTTTTAGGATGATTTTAATGTCAATAACAAGGAATGCATTCTCACTATTGCCACAGTGAACACTGTTGGAATTCAAGAGGAATTTAAGGAATAATAATTAATTTCTATATTGATTAGGGGAAAATCTACTTAATGTTTGAAAACTTAAGGCCATGGAAATTTACTGCATCCTATGATATCAAATTTACCACTTAATAAACTTTTTACTATAAAAATTTTCCTAGTCTGTTTTTAGCCCTTCTATAGATAACTTACATTTTTAAATTCTTTATGAACATTCAGAATTAGAAACTTAGCCAAAAGGCCAAAAAACGTGCATCTGAAAGAGTAGATTCTTTGGAAAAGGAATGAAATCAAAATTATCCACAATTTGCCAGAGCTGATAAAATTCTCTTTCCTTTGGCTGAAATTCATCTCTTACTAATTGTACAATGCCAGATTGGTATCTTCGCTCTCTAAGAAACCCTCTCTCAATTCTTAGCACTTTATTGGTATAAATCCATTTTGACTCTGGCATGTTGCCAACCAGTTTGACAAATGCACAAGTCTGAGTGAAAATACTCCAAGACATTGGGAGATATTTAAATTGCCTAACATCCACTAGTGGATATTTCAAAATGTCTCTCAACTTTTGATTACACAAGTTTAACTGACCAAGTCAGGGAGTAATCATCTGCCACTTTTCACATTCTCACAAATTGAGAATTGACGTTTTATGCTGAGATATTCCTGACAAACTTTATTAGTCACTTTTCTCTCTAATAAGTCAAAAATATCCTTTCAATTAAATGACTACTTGGAGATGGGGACTACCAACCCACAGACCCAGGGAACTTGTGCTTTATCTCTGTCACTGTTATTTAGAGGAAAAAAACCTTGCTGGAATGTTTGTTGAGAAGGATGTACCTATGACACTGCTGACCCAGTCTACTTACAACAAATACTAGTGAGAGTTTCCAGGTGTGGGAAACGTTAGCCATCAGACAATGGGCCAAGGTGCCCTTCAAGGAGGGGAGCAGCACTGAGGGTATAAAAATGATCCAGAGCAAATTATATTTTATGCCCTTCCTTGCTGCCCTCCATTGCCTGAAATTTTATAAAGATGACATCAGATTAGACCAAAAATTAAAGCAGCATAAAAGGGGGGAAATAAATCACATATATGAATGGGTAGGATTACTCTATTCTCTATACTCCCATTGGTTTTTAAAAAACTTATAGTTTACTATAACACATTTCACTTTATAATTATCCAGGTTTACTTGCCTATCTCTTCTGTTTCGTAGCATTTCAAAATTCAAGTGGGTACACCATGGCCTTGTTTGCTTTTTTTTGTCCTGAATGTGTTTCAGCACAGTATCTGGAGCTTTAGTCATGCTCAGTAAGGGTTTATTGACTGTGTAGGAATTGAGGGGGCAGTACCTTCCCTTTGCCCTTTGCCCTTTGCCCTTTGCCCTGGTCATTGTGCAAGTCAGACATTTCTTATAAGATTCTCTTTATAATTACTACCACCACACATCTACAACCTCTTCCTCTACTTCATCAGATGTTCCTCCCCGCTCTACCCTCTCTGAAGTTACTGTCAAGCTGCCATGTATGTCAGGGCATTTTGAACCATCAGACCAAATGTATTCACCCAAGTTTGCCATATTTTAGTGGAGTAGACTCCAAGATTTGGGATAAGGGGTGAAACCTATGGCTTATATAAGATAAACTGGTAAAGAACAATTCAGAAGGACAGAGAAAATTAGCTTTGCAACGATCCGTTGGTGAAGTGATTGACAGTGGGAAACCAGTTAGGGAGGCACAGAAACTGTGAAATCCTAAAACTGAGAGAGATAAAGACAGAAATGGAAGTGCAAATACACAGGCACACACACCCCTGAGCATTCCAGTTCCAGGACTGAATCTGTGAGCATGTTTTTTGACTTGGCCTCTTCCTGTTCTTTTCTTTCCCCTAGCCTTTGAAAAAGAGCTAGCTCACTTGTGCTTTCTTTGCAGGAATATTTTTTAAGATATTTATTAAAAAAATAAAGATCCTGCCCAAACACTATGAGTTCCTCAGAGATAGAAATCACACCTTCCACCTATAAAGCGTTTACATATAATTATTATCAGTGTTAGATAGTGGTAAGAGATAGACATCTAGATAGAGTCTGGTCATTTATATGCCAAATAAGCAACTGTCAGCTGCCACATGAGCTGCTTTTTTATTCTTTTAAGATCACCTCATACTACCTCCCTGCCACAGCTATTTCCTGTGACCCTTTCTCCTTAAAAAAGTCTTTGTGAAGGAAGTGGGGGTGGGAGGAGGTCAGGTCAAAAAGGGAAAAGGTTTCTTTTATGATACAGATTTACAAGTAATACATCTTCCGATAAAGCTGTTTATTTAAGGATAAAAGGGTGCATGGACATCTATGAAATGTGAATCTTGCGTAAATGAATAAATAGTGACATGTGGCTGCTCTGACTAGGAGTATCATCACATGTAATGGAGAAAGAATTCCTATTGTTTTGAAATAGGTTCATATATGTGATTTTAAAGATTTATTATGAAGTACTTTTTCATAGGAAGAAAATGTTAGCGTTCATTTTAGAAATTTTATTTTGATCAATTTTATTATTGGTTAATTTTTATTATATTTAACACAAATATTTTATTGGAATAGAAAGAAAGGAATATGTGAGCATATACAAAAAAGCAGTAAATTCTGTAATGCAAACAATAATGAAAATATTACCACATATTAATCTTTCCTAGATGGTTACCAAATAATTTTCATTTTAATGCTTTAAGACTACAGTTCTTTTCAAGTAATTGAGACACTCTCCAATTCTAATTTTAAGTGATCCTTCTGCCACTATCCAAAGTAACAAACATCTAAACATCCTCTGCAAACATTTGGTGAAGTAAGTAGAATTATTTGGGAAAGGGGGAAGCAAGTTGTTACACAGGTCATTGAGAAGTGGTGTGGAATCTCAACCGGAATACAGTGACTCATAATTTGTAATTGATTATGATTTTTTTAATGAACGGGAAAAAGTCAAATTAGGGATTTTACCAACATCAACGGACACATGGAACACTTCCTCTGGGTTCTAAAAACAGTAACTGATATCAGAATATGTCCGTGCAGTTCATTTTCAACTCGACTCTCACTTGCTACATCAACATCTTTGTTACTGATCAGTTAATTCATCTTAATGACCCTGACAAAGAGGCACTGAAATGTCCTCAAACACTCATACCCTTACACCCTCCCCCCCCGAAAAACAGAGGTTCAAATATCTTCTAGTCCAGCACCTTCAATTTAGGATCCAGAAATTCTTATGTTTGAAAAATACTACTTTATTCTCAGACCATACTAAATGTATTAAAGCAAGAATGATGATTCCTATAATTTTGAGAGACTTTACAAACAACAGTGTTTAAATAAAAACTTCCAGACATCCCTCAGTCCATCATAACTACAGAAAGGTACAAGGACATACCATTTGCAAGCGCTGAGGTTTTATTTGACTTCAGTTCAACCTTCTGGTTTAGTTACAAAATAAGATACCAACAGAAGCAGTAGCAGTATCAAAAGCTACCACTTTTTGGGTGCTTAATACACGCCAGCCCCTCCCTGCACGCAAACTGCGTAATTTTCACAATGAGCCTGTGAAGTTGGGGTTATTAACCTGATTCTACAGATGGAGTCAGAGATTCAAGAAGGAGCAAAGCTGAATTTGAACTGAGTTCCATTTCACTTTAAGCATGGGATGTGTGGTTTCAGAACTGTGGGTCTAAAACAGCAGAGGCAGTCATGCCCTATTTACTGGGATATTTGTGTTTTAGCCAAGTTTGTTATAAAGTGCATTTTCCCAAAGGAAACTCTACTTTTCCAATGATTTATACTATACAATTTGAGACTGTTTACCACTACACAAGTTTTATGAGGGCTGGGACCATGTCTGTTTTTTTTTTTTTTGGCACAGACACAGCACCTGGCAGATAGGAGGTATTCAATAAATATTTGTTAAATGAATTGTGTGGAAAAAAATTTTCAAGTATATTTAGTAAAAGCATAGTTAAGAATTCAGAAAAAAAATTTAGTGTGCATTTTAGTTTCAAGAAAATGTTTTTAATAAAACAAATATTACTCAAATATGGTTACATATTCAAAGTATTGGTAAAATTCTTTGCTATACGCTAAGTAAATAATAAAGTATTTCTGATAATCAAATGTAATATATATAAGGAATTTGGATATCATGAATACCTGCTTTATGATTTTCTCCCATTATAAAGTCATTAAGTCTTAAAAATTGAGTGAGCTCAATGTTCTCATCAGCTTCAATTTATTTGAACACATATAACTTCAAATTCAGAATAAATTTCTTTACTCGCCACTGCCATTGAAACTTGCTGACTTGCCTTTGCTTTGGTAATATTCTATAACCTTGTAGGTAATCAGTGATTCACACTCTGAATTCCATCTTTTTTTATGTTGTGTTATGTGTTCTTATGTTGTGGTGTGTTATGTATGCTTTTACATTGTGCCACCTTCAGTTTTTGGTAAATATCTTAAACTAAGGGATACTATAGTGTTCATCATTGTATCTTTCGGGTTCAGCATGGCATCTGGACTACTGTAGAGACTCAAGAAATTCTTGTGGAAAGGAAAGAAGGAAGGGAGTGAGAGATGAAGAAGGGAAGGGAGAGGGAAGAAGAAGGGAAGAGAGAAAGGGCAGAAAGGAGAGAGAGGAGAGGAGGAAGAAAGAAAGTTAATTAGTTCTTGGATTAGAAGAGATAAAGCCAAGGTTCAACAATGCTGAATTCTTGCTTAGAAAGAGAGATCTACTGCAACATCTCCTAAGAGGTTTATATGTTGAATAACTACCCAGGGCCCAACAAGTGTAGTCCATTAAGGAATGCCACTGGTGGCTGAGATTTGTGTCCTTACTGATGCTTCATATAGGACCAATTGAACCTAGGGAAGTGATCATCATTGTCTGACATTTCACTACAACCCATAAACTGCTGGTTAGCCAAATCATTCAGATGACTGTTACTACAAGAATATATTTATTAATTAGTGGTGATATCCTCTAGATTCTCCGGGTTCTAGGGGATATAGTGAAGTTTTTTACCAGTTCTGTTACATTAACTTTGACTTAGTGTCACAGACTTACACTACATGAAATTTGGTAATACTTTGTTCCTATGCATCTTAAATACTCTTATCTTTCCAAACTTGAACTTTTGTGTTTCTTATATTGCTGATACTAGCAAATATAAGAAAATTTTTCAGAAAAAAAGACCAGAAATGAAAGCAGAACACAGGGTCTGTGACAACCAGTTCTAATGTTTCCACTAGTCAGAGAATCTACTCCTCAAAGTCAATCAGGCAGCAAGCATTTATTGAACACCCAAAGGAGGAACTGTATTAAGCTCTTAAGTAAGAATAGTCTTCAGGACTATAGTGTGCCAGCTAAATACTTATTTTCCATGTCACTCAGAAAGGGAAACACAGGATGCCTTTCTGAACAGCTGATTAAAATACTTAACACTAATTCACCTTTTATCTAAAGATGAAATAAATTGAATGAGGAATTACTGAAGAGCTCTTCTCTAGCTGAGATTATGCAAATATCCAGTATTCTTATTCTTACTCTCAGGGTGAAAACAAACAAAAGGAGAAATTATTGAAGAATCCTTTCCTCAAAAAACTCCAAGTAGTAAGTAAATTATATATCATTTTTTGTTTATTCAAGAGTCATTGATTGAGTGCCTGTTATGTTGAATGGGGATGTGGGACAGGGACATTGCAAATTTCATAAAAGTGTCTGATGCCCCTGTGAGTATAATAAGCTTTTTACACATTTCCGTCCAGAGGGTGCTATGAATTTTCCTAACAGAATAGGAAACGACCATATCACCTGCTCTCTCCATGTGTAGTCAACTAGTTGAGCCTATTTTTGATTGCTTACCAAGTACAAGATGCTTCAAGCATTATCGTTTCTGAATCCTTGATTCATTCCAATCATCTGATATTCCTAAACTAACCAGGGAGTGTGATGTGGTGGGAAAAGCATGGTTTTTGGGATCAAATGGATTACAGTTTAAATTCCAGCTTTTTTACTAATTAATCTTTTGGGTAAATTACTTAACTTCCTTAAGTTTCGGTTTTCTCATCTATAAAATAGACCTTTTTTCCCCCTCACAGAGTTGACTAGAGGATTAAAATAATATATGTAAAGTACGTAGTCCAATTCCTGCCATGTACTAGTAACTCAGTAAATGGCTCTATCTTCCTGGTTCCCTGCTAAATTTGGGAAGGGGAGGGCCAGGAGGAGAGAGAAACTCAGAAGAAGTGAGAGGGAGGCACTTATATCGTTGAAAACTCTACTCCCTGCTCTAGCTTTTGAGGTCAATGTGTCTAGTGATTGTGCATTTTATAACATAGTTAAAGCAATTATTCCCTAGTGAGGTTGATTCTTAAAATCCTTGGAAATAGACCTGGGCTTCCAGCTTATATTCTGATCTAAGATTGGCCTCAAACTCAGATTCTGATTCAAAAGACTGTAATGGAAGCCCAGAAATCCATGTTTTCATAATACTCTAGATTTTGTTGTCAAGCAAGGCTGGGAACCGCTGAACTAAGGTGATGTCAAAGGCTATGATGACAAGAGGGGACTGTCCAATTCCCAAAGAGCTCATGCTTCTGGGATAAATCCTCAGGACTTAGTGAAACAGAAGCGTATGTGATTTTGTTATTGTGATAGTTAATTTCATGTATCAACTTGACTGGGACACCCGGTGCCCAGATATTTGCTTAAACATTATTCTAGATGTGTCTGTGAGGTGTTTCTGGATGAGATTAATGTTTGAATCAGTAGACTGAGTAAAGTAGATTGCCCTCCCCAATGTGCGTGGACATAATCCAATCGCTTGGAGGCCTGAAGAGAACAAAAGGCAAGGCAAGGGAGAATCTGCTCTCTCTGTTTTCAAGCTGAGACATTGCTCTCCTGAACTCAGACTGGAACTTACACCATTGGTTGGCTCTCCTGGGTCTCAAGCCTTCAGACTTGAGTGGTTGTAGAACGGATGGCCATTACCTGGCAGAATTTGAGTGCCAAGACCAATTTCAGAAGCTGAGGCTTGCAAATGCAGGATTGGGAAAGGTGATAGGAGCTGGGAAGATGAAGTTTCCGTCACCTTAAATAAAGAAGCTCCAAATGGCCTGGCATATCTTCATCTTACAGGTGGCGGAGATCCTAGCGGAGAGAAATGAAGTCAGGAAAAACTTCCAAAATATTAGAGCATGGCAGAGGAAGGACCAGTAGATTATAGAGAGCATCTTATAGTTTGCCATTTAAAGAGATGATGGTGGGCTGCACTGTCCCCACCCTGGTGCCACAGGGAAGTGAGGGGTGGGGTGCACAGGAAGCCTGTCTTTCAGCTCCCTACTCACTTAGATTTGCTCATCTAATAGGAGGCTACTTCACCTAATGGCTTCCTCTTCAGTGAGTCTCTGGACCACTGCTGAGGTCAAACATGGCAGTCCTCATATGTTTTTGACAACTCTCTTTCCTCCATGCCATAGAAGAGCATCACATCCCCAACTGTGCTCAGAGGAGTAGATGTTCATAGGTGTGGCATAAAAGGAAGTACTGCCATCAACCACGTTTGGGAAACAGTGGGTTAACAAAGAAAAACAAGTTGCTTTACGGCAGGTTTTCTCATATCTTTTAATAAGTTAGTGTGCATTGTGAATCTGCAAGAAACACATATAGTTTGAAGAACTTCCCCAAAACTTTTGACCACAGTTGCTGTATTAGTAAGGAGTCTCTTGGTTTTTAAGTGACAGAAATCCAGCTTCAACAGGCATAAGCCATAGAGGGAACTTACTGGCTTACAGAACCAAGTAGCCCAGGCATGGTTGAATCTGGAGGCCTCAAATGATGTTACCAGTATCTGTCTATCTCCATCTATTGGCTCAGCTTTCTTCTGGGTTGGCTTCATCCTCATGAAGTCTTGCTCTATGCAGTGGTCCCTGGCAGCAGCAGGCTTACATTATGCTTATAGTTAGAAATTCCACTTTGGAAAATATCTCTACTAGAGAACAGAACATATTTTAAGTGAATTGTTTTTGAATTTAGAAGTATTTAAATCATAATCAAGTTACAATAATGAGATATAAAATGTAATTTTTGAAGACCTTGGTTGTTGGTTTTCTTTTTTTTTTTTGGTCAGGAAGATTGGCCCTGAGCTAACATCTGTTGCCAATCTTTTCTTTTTACTTGAGGAAGACTGTCCCTGAGCTAACATCTGTGCCAGTCTGAAGACCTCGTTTTTATATACAAGTGACACCTTATGGTACTGGTGCATGCTGGTTTAATATATCATGAAACTGCTTAATGGAAGCTGTCCCTCAGAAGTATTAATGTGTTTTAGAACTCAGTTTGCTTCTCAATTCCCTGAAAGTCCCCTACCCCAAATTTACACAGTGTTTTCTTATTGCTCCTAAAGTCATTAGAGGCCACCTTGGGTTAAGGAAGTAGGTTCTCAATACATTAAGGTGAACATACGATTTTGTAAACTATGTAGTATAATATTTAAAATGGAATCTTTAAAAAAAAAATCTTAAGCTATTACTCTCTATAACTCTGACCATGAAGATTGAATTTGAATTTGAATTGAACTATTTTTTAATTGAACTTTGTTAGAAAACTACAGAAGATATACCCATCTGGGAACTTTTATTAAACATCAACTTTAATGCAAATTTATGACTAGACTCTAGAAATATCTGACTGTGAATCACAGGATTCTTCATTAGTGCCCCAAATTGGGTCTAAATCATCAACATCACATCACGACACTAGTGGGAATTGCTGAATAGTCAATATGAAAGAGGCTTTCCTTTAATTGGTCAACTAGTAATCATTTTCATTTTGAAATGCATAATGGTAATGACTTTATTTTTACATATGGGATATTTTGGGGGATTTTGATTTTGATTTTTCTAACCTAAGGAAATTATTCCAGCAAGTTAGAAATTGAATTTCCTGGAGATGCTCATTTCTCTTCCTACATATTTACTGTGTCCTTATGGCCAGCTAGGAAACGAACTGTAGTGAAAGCAACATCATTTGGAATTTTTATAACTGGAATCTCAAACACGTTTGTCACTCCATTCCATGATGCGACTTGATATTCACCGATGACAATATCTTGAGGGATTTCAAGATTCTTCAGCAGTTTCTGAATTATCAAAAGTGGTCATACTATGCCTAATTCTAAAATAACAACTGAAAACTATTTATTTTATCGCTTGAAAACCAGCTATTCACAAAATATACATATGTGTACCTTCTTTGATTTATTTGATCAAACAGATCACTCTACAAGATAGAGTTGCCAACAGACTTCTTTGTCTCAAAAATGTTGGAATAAAATGCTTAAGCATTCTTCCACATCAAAAGATCCTTTTAGGTAACAGCTAACATTAATCAACAAGTGCTCTATTCAAATGATCTCATTTAATCCCCACGATGACTTTACAAAAGAGGTAGCACTTTTTTAACCCGAATTTTACCGAGTTGGAAAACTGAGGCATGAGGAGGTTAAAAGTGTCTAATATTTCACATAACTTGTAAATGGCAGAGTTGGCTAGGCAATCCAACTCCAGAACCAGTGATAATGACCACTGTAAATATAGTGATTGATCATTTGACCTGTGAGCAGAACATTGCTTGATAATGTTACCTAAGGCACAACAAGAATGGGAACATTCAGATTTATCTCAAATGTAGGAGAGCCCTACGTTCAGCGCATGTGCACAAACGAACTCGTGCGCACACTCACACGCACACAATAAGGATTGCCTGATGGTTCAGCACATTTGGTTATTGCAGGGCTTTTGTTTTCTTGACTTGGGTTAAAAAGACTTTAACAAAGTTCCCATAAATAAGAGGCCAAGTAAATAAAAATCTCATATTTGTACTGTTACACTAATAAGCTTAATAACAATAATCCACAAACATCTGCAATCATAAAATAAAAACTTCATTACCATTTCAATGCAGTCACTACAAATCCTCAGGTTAGCCAGTACACCAGCTGTGTCCTGGTGCTTCACAATACAAAACAGCAATTCATTCCAAATTACCGCTCTCTGTTAGTGACTCTTGCTCTCTGGCTCCCATCCCAAACACTCCTGCTGTTCAGGTCTATTGTTTCCCCTCACTAGAAGCCTTTTATTTCCTGGGAAAGCTTGAAGGATTGTCCCAATGAACAACTAGGCTAATCTTCTAACTTCTGATTTCCCACTATATGTCCTCCAATATTCTGGGCATACTCGGCCTTATTTTCTCTCTATCCAGTGGCATTTCATATATATTTCTAGAAGGTGTATAGAATACTTCACCCAAAGAATGAAACTGAAGGAGTTAACAAAGCTCATGCTATTTTGTGGCTTTGTAAAATGAACCAGTCCAAGATTCAGATAATGAGCTTTAGTCTCTCTATAGGAGCTGTGGAGTTGAGAAAACTCTCTCTCTAATTCCTGCCATGGGCCTCTAAGTCATCAAATTCCTTATAAAATTACAGAAGACTTCCCTCTGAGAGTTTATGGCCTTGGAACAGCAGGTTAAAAACCAGATTGGTGGAAAATGAAGGATAGTCTTTGAGCCACATGTAACACATATACCAGCTTATAGAAATTTTATACTACTTAAGAGATCATACTTAACAGGCAGTTTATTTTTATGCTGCAAAATACTTATCTATTCCCTTTCATCTGGAACTTAAACTTTTCACAATCCCGAATACAAGTGAGGAGAGGGAATGCGAGGATATTTGATCTTAGCCGTACTGATGAGATATAAGATTTCAGGAAAACATTGTCTTTTGGATTAACTCTTCCAGTGCATAAACATAACCAAGAAATTTGTTCCTTCTAGGATATGGAAATCCAAGTCTATTCACTGTCAAAACAGGGGTCATTTAAATATTTCCTCTATTTATCATTTCTAATCAGGTGGTAGAAAACATTGGGAAAAGTGAACTTTTTTTGTATTATCTTCTGTCTTGTTGTCACAACCCAGTATCTTGTACAGATGACCTCATGTTGTTTTCCTAGGGACTTGGGCTTGGTGATCTGTTTATAAAGCCTCTTCAGATCTTCATCTGGGAGCATTTTATGGAGCAGGTGGATATCCTACTGCTTGGAGCTGTGAGCTCGCTTTGGAGACCATCTTCCCCTTGGAATATGGCAGATGACTGAGAAATGAGGTGAACCCTGATAGTGTGGACCACAGATAGCTTAACTCTTTGAAGATATGCCTATTTTGACTCCACCTATAAGAGAGCACTACTCTGCCTGCTAAGACAGAATGGAACTCTGCTGAGATGGAACATGACAGCCACTCATAACACCACACATCCTTTTCCAAGCAGCTTGTTATACAAATGAAACATTGTTCTCACATGGCAAATTTACAAAGGCAGAAGGTAAGAGGGTAGAAGAATCTGTCTTCAGGGTTCCATTGTACATTAGAGAGATAGCTATTGGGAAAAAATTGGTAATAGACATGGTAAGGGGTCATTTTCATAGATTGGATATTTCAGAGATAGAGCCCTTCTCAAGGGCTGCTTTTGAATCTTGACAAGAAGTTCACCACAAAGAAGTATAGGCATTGTGATAAGAAGAACGTCAATGGGACGCCCTGAAAAGCTGATTCATTTTAAATACAAAAGCTAAGGGTGAGCTAACCTATTACTTATTACTTGATGTAATCTTCTCTTTGGCAGTTAGCAAACAGTACTTGACATATTTTTCAAGATACAAAAATAAAGTGGATCTGTTTATGGAGTTCCCCAGTTGATCTACACATTGTGGGTTATTTTAACAATTGGTTTCTAAAAATAGATTTAGGACAAATGTAGGCATTCTTTGGCATGTTAGAGTCATCACGGAATGTCTACATGAACAACTCTTGGCACCTGAATGCCTATTTTTAGGAGACTGCAAGGAATGAGTTGTGGTCATTTTGGAGGCATCCTTGAGGCTCCTGGTAATTCCTGGATGATGGCTCTCCTCTATGAATGTGAACACTCAGAAGCAAGATTCAACTTAAAGAACTGAAAACTTGTATTCTGAAAGTACCACCTTGAACCTTGTTTCACTATTCCAATATGTTGTATTATATATAGCACACCATCACAAACTTACTATACTCACATAGATGGTTTACACAGGCTGGGTTCAAAATCACCATTCCTAAAAGGGACGAGGAAACTTTACTGACTCTGAACACCAGCAGTCAGGTGGCTGTGTCGTGTATCAGTGTCAGCGCATGACAGAAGTCAGATTCTGGAGGCAGGACAACTTGGAACAGGGATTCAGTCATATTTGATGGCTCCAACTTGTTACGAGGTATGACATTCAGTACCTTGTGTAGATACAGGGTAGAGATACGGGTAGCTGGATGACTTTTTCTGGGATAGTTAGATACAGAATTAAAAGCTGACAACCCTGTAAAGGAGGCACCCCCCTCAATCAAACTCTTCAACAGAATATATGTATGTATATATATACACACACACACACACACAAAAGATAAAATATTTTTTTTCAGAAAATACCTACATACTTCAAATATATTGCATATCTCCATGTGCATTGCAATTATCTAGGAATAGTTCATAAACCAACCAAATAAAATCTATACTAATTAGAAATACACAGTTTAATTCAGAGGACGGGATATTGTAAACATAAAAGTAAGTGAGGCAACAGAACCCTTTTTGAAGGCAACCTTGCTTTAAATAAGCAAATAATGTTGATGTTTTATACAAGATAGAATTACATTCAAATTTCTTGTTCTCGTGGTAACATCTAGCAAGTCGCTCTATAGTTTGATACTTGCTTCATTCTTTACATTTCTCTCTTCACATGCTATCTCAACTTATATTCTTAAAATTGGTGATAGAGACCCTCGTACACTTTTCATTCTGTCTTCTTGATCAATAGATTTCTTTAGAGGGATTTTATTTTCCAAAGGCCAGGTGAGTTGCTCTGTCATTAAAATGTCGTTTGATTTCTAGAGATGATTTATTCTAATTTGAAAATCTTAACTTCTCAGAAACTCAAGGGTTACTACATTGATAGTAATTATAGAAAGGAAAATGTGTAGATATTAAACTTCTGCTAAAGACAATTTGGAAGTTAGAAGTGAAGGCAGAACTGGAAATGGGGCTCAGAGCAAGGGGATAATTAAAACCACTCTGATTAAATTCAGCATATTGAAATATTTCAACGAAATGAGAATGATCATTCACACCCTGAGGGAAAATTGCCATTCCATTCTGGATGGAATTCCTATTTTTGAGAACTGCAAATTTGCTAAAGTAGTAGATTCGTCCAAAATTAGCTTGTAAAATGCTTGCAATAAGCAACATCTCCAAATCATGGTCAAATGGCATTTTGCACGGATATTCAGTGACAAAATATCTTACATAGGTTCAAGTACAATTATGAAAATGTCTTCTATTTCTTCAGGGTTTTATTACCGTGTTTTACAAATTTAATATTGTATACTGAGCTAATATGAGCCAAAAAATAATAGATTTCTATGTCTGGCAAGGATACCCAGCCTCCATACTTGAGAACCAAGGGAGGCTGTTCTCAAAAATATGTGAGATTTTTCACCCAGTGAAACATTGCTAATGCCATGGTTGACCACCAGCCTCATAACGCAGCAAGTCAAATGAGAACTATTTATTAAATGCCTGTAGTGTGTGAAGCCCTGTGTGGTAATGATTAAATGACACAGCATTGGTTTAACAAAAAAGAAAAGGAAAAATATCCTAGCACAGTGGGTGACACATAGGAAGAGCCCAATAACAATTAGCTTCTTTCCTGACTTTTAATAGCAGAGTGGGAGTTGGGATAAAGACAAATGGGAAGAGATGAAGTGGCATTCAGTAGAAGGCCCTATGGTTTGAGGTGTTCTCAGTGTCAAGGATGGGGTACTCTCTCCTTCAGATCCATTGCTGAGTCAAGGTGCAGGTCTACAACATGGCCAGTTTGGCTGAGAGGTATATTGGAAGCAAAGCTTGACTTCTCTCCTGGGAACTGAATCCACAGTCTTGTCCTCTCTAGTCTTATATTCTAATAGGGCTGGAGAACAATACAAACGACTGGTGATTTTGGAAATCATCTTTAAATTTAACACTTTGTTGGACAAATCAGTGAAGTCCCTTTCCTCCCAACAATTATACTTAAGTGGCCCACTATGCTTTCATTTGGCAGAATCTGTTGGAAAATTAGTTGGGTTGTTTTGCATTTGTACAGTTCAAGGTAAATCCCAAACAGGGTCATAAACTGCAGAAATTTTCAAGCCTGCACAGCCCCCTGATCTTTTAAACAGTCTCGAGGGGCCCTAGGCCTCCTTGAAATCTGAATCCAACGTGACTAATTTGAGAAATTCTCACTCTCTTCTTGCCTTAAAGAGGATCCAAAAGCAGTGAGTCAGTTCCTCTGGTCCCTGTTAGGAATGAGTCTATTGACAGAAGGTTCTTTATCAACAACAATGGGATTGTGCCTCAACAATAAAACCTTTGGTTTGTTTTTCCTCCACAGATACGATGAATTTGGATAGTGTGATGGATCATAAAGAGACAGAGTCTTCTTCCCTTCCCCTTGAACTGAGTTGATCCTGACATATTTTGGCAGTAGAATATGGTAGAAGTGATGTTGTGTAACGACACTCCTTGGAACCCTGTGAGAAGCCCAAGTAAAATGAAGAAGCCACGTGAAAGAGAACCCAGGTACTCCAGTCAACAGCCCCAGCTGAGCTTCCAGCAACATGTGAGTTAGCCATCTTGGACTCTAGTCTTGTCTGGCTTCTGGAGGAATGTGGCTCTAGCTGACAGCACTGGAGCAGAAGAACTGTCTAGCTGAGTCTAGTTAACTCACAGCATCTTTAGGGATAAAATAATGATTATGGTTGTTCTATACCACTAAGTTTTGGAGTGGTTTGTTATGTACCAAAACCCATACAGACATTCATACTCTCTCCAAGTTTGCTTTGAGTCCAATAGCACTTACTTGTAAGATGTCTGGCTGGGGGAGATTTATGTTTTTGAAATAGTTTTTCTTAAATGTAATTGTTTTGAGTGGATAAAAATCAAAGTTGGGGCAAAAGCACCAGACATACTTAAATCACTGGAAAAGGGATGAAGCTAAGAGTTGTGAAGATAATGATTGGTGTTGAGGAAGAGATGTCTTGTGTGGGGGAGGGCCACATCGATGTCATCTGGTCACTGTAGCATGCCAGTACCCCCTAGGGGAAGCTCTTGGATTTCAAAACTCTGCCCAGACCTTCTGAGCTGCACAAGTAAGCCTTAATTCTTTTATTATTTTCATATTGAATTAGAAGCTCTTTTACATAAATATAATTTTCTTCAGCATCTGTTGATATTTTTGGACCATGAAATTTAGCAGGAAATTAAAAGCATAAAGACTTGCATAGCATAATGCTGAGTTATGCAAGTTTGAAATAAAACTTTATCTAATTCTGTCACCAAAATCTGTTTTTTAGAAGCATAAGGCCTGACAAGCTCACATTACTCACATTCACATTTGTGAATGCCACCTCACTCTCCTCCTGAGATGATTCTGTTGCTCACCAGTTTGATGGGCCAGTAGAAAAACGCATTTGCCAATAGCCTGGGTCAGGTGCCAGCTGCTTTTGGGCTCCTGTGATTGCCATGTCCCTTCTGGAGAGGCCAGGTTGCCAAGGAAGTAGCAGGAGTCAGAACTGAGTCAAGGTCAGGAGACAATAGTCATGGCATCAACCCTAGTGGAAATTAGCAGAGTTCACCGTGGGATGCAGGTATTAGGTACCAGGCCAAGAATGTGACCAGAACCATTCAGGCTGGTGTTAAATTTTAGGGCCCTCAGTTTTCTATTTATCCTATGGCAAAGCAGTTAAATTCTGAGAAAAGCAACTGGCTAGTAACATGATGAGGTTATTTTTGTGCCCACTTAGAAGCAAGAGTAAAAGGCAGGATCTCAATTAAGGGTGCTGGTCTTTGGTGCAGTACATTGAGCCAAAAGTAATGATGCTAAAGTATGAGGTGAATACAGGACAGATAATAAAGGGAGGTGTAAAGTGTCAAACCCAAGGAAGCAGGCAGAGAGGAAGAAAGCAACAGTCATGAAGGGATACAACAGAGAGACAGAGAGAGTTCAGGTTTGGGAAACAGAGCTTGGAAAGATTCCTAGATGCAAATCGGCACAAATGGTGGGAGATTTTAAAATGTTATCTGCAGTAAAACATGTGGGAAAGGAGGGAGTAATGATAATCCCCAGAAAGATCATTGGATTAAAAATCAAAAGGCCTGTAGGGGCTGACCTAGTGGCATAGTGGTTAAGTTCACGGGTTGGTGGGTTTGGAATCTGGGCGTGGACCTACACACTGCTCATCAAACCATGCTGCAGCAGTGTCCCACATACAAAACAGAGGAAGATTGGCACAGACGTTAGCTAAGGGCCAATATTCCTCACCAAAAAAAAAAACCAACCAGGCCTGTAATGTAGACCTACTTTAGAAGTTGGACAGCTAAGTGACCTTTAGTAAGTCATTTCATACCAAGAAACAAACGGCAAAATGACAAGATTGGTACAATCAAGGGGCTGTATAGTAACAAGCATCGACTTTGAGTATCCATTTTCTACTAGAATATGGGCTGTGTTCCACAGGGATGAGCTTCTGAGATGACTGGACTGTAGATTATATATTCAAATTCTAAACAGAGTTCCATCTTTGTTGTCATTGGAATTTTCCTGTATCTAAGATCCCATTTGCCTGTTTCTAAGTGTTTCTTTTATTTCCATCTTTAATTTATGAATCAGGGTTTATTTTCCTGGCTGGGTTGTCTACCAACCTGTAGTCTATAAGAAATTATTAGAAAACCAGGGATCTGTGGTCGCTGACATTAGAAATGTGGATGCAACTCTTGTTCTCACTCTGCACCCAGATTATTAAGTGTAGGGAAGAACTTGGGCAGAGAGTCCTTGAACCATCCTTTATGAACCAAAATGAGGGAGGGCTGTCATGAGTGTGGGACAGAGGTGGCGGGGGCTACCAAGTCTGTGGGATCAGAGTGTATGGACCTCAACTCTGTCTCTTGACATTCAGAGTGAAGAGACTAGTTTGACAGTTTATCTTTTGCTAAGAGGCACAAATGTCTGCAGGACAGAAGTCTGGTATGTCAGAGTTCTTAAGTTCTTACGTAGTTCCCTGAGACAGAAAGGGAACACAGAGGGCAACTGTTTTATATAGACTAAGAAATGTATCGTCCTACATAAGCCATATACATAGCATAAGTCTTGACAGTAATTTGTCCTCTGAGAGGCCAAAAGTATTTTGCTTTTCCCTCCCAAATGCTGCATGAGAGTTCTGCGATGCTTATCATAACGAAACAGTTGAGTCCCAGTTTCCTCTTCTCATCCATGGAGAGGGTAGAAAAATAGGCCCTGGATGCAGATTAAATTTTGCTTTTATAGTTAGCAAACATACTGTCAATCTGATCAATATATACGTCTGACGAAATTGCTATGAATCATCACTACCATTACTGCAACTCCAATTAAAGGTGCTTACTTCACACTAGGCACTGTGCCAAGGACCAACATACTATAACTCATCGAATACTCCCAAGAATGCGGTGAGGTTAGTATGATAGCCCCTACTTCATATATGAGGATTCTTTAGGCTGGTGGGTAAATGCAAAATATTTAACAACCAGTTCCACAAGGTCCGTGATGGATCTCAAATGGAGCACGGATACTCTAGTGTTAGGTTGAAAATTAGCCCTCATCATCCTCCCTACTTTCTCCCAGGTTAAGATCAACTCTTTCTTCAAGTCTCAGTTTAAATATTACCCTTCAAAGAGGTGTTCATCCCCTAGGGGCCTGGGCGAGTGCTTCCTCTTCTGTGCCCTCATTACACTGTCCCTTTGACTACTGTAGCCCATCACACCTATAATAACTTACTTTCCATCTGTCATCCTCACCAGAGCAGTGCTCTAATCAAGTTCCTAATCCTATTTCTCCTTGAAAAAGGGATGAACAGATGTATTCTTGGATGAGGGGAATCTATCAATGATCAAGACTAGTTAGATTTTATATTGTCATTATGATTATAATCTAAAACATGTATATTTTTTCAATTATGTCAGCACTTAGTAGTGGCCCTTTAATTGTCATGGCTAAACGAGAGTAGAACAGAAGTGAACCCAACATGTAAATTGTGCATTTGTGCCAAGTGAAGATCATATAGTGTCACAGGGTGCCACCTAAACACAGATTTATAGGCATTCATATAGAGAACACGTGCAGGGACACAGCACACTTCGTTAGGGAACTGGAAGCACGTGTGAGTCACTGTTGGTTTCAACAAAACATCTTTTAGGATACTCAATTATTGATGCTAATTTGAATTTTACCAGTGTTGAAGTTCTGCTTGTGTTTATTTTATAATTTTGATATGATTTTATAGCTCCACGAGCTAGATGTGTAATGTACTCATGTCTAGTTTTATGTTTATATATTTTTATGTAACATTGAAATACAATTAATTGAAGTCTGCACTAGATATCTGAGAGAGTTTGTTTTTGCCCATAAAAAGGAGAGCTTTATGTTTCCCAAGTTTGAGAAACACTGGGTGAGACAGTAGTTTCCATGAAGGCAGGACTTGTGATTCTCTCGGTCACAGCTGTATCTCTACATCTAGTAGTCTGCCCACTGCCCAGCACGTACTATATCCTCAATAAATACTTGGTGACTAAATGGGAAGCTAAATCTTTCATCTCATGGGTGCACTCTTTCTTTTCCTAATGTGTTCTTCTGCATGAGTTCCATTTTCTGGGCTTCAAAATGAATGAGCATTGGCTTATCTGACTTCTTTTCTCTTCCTGCTACCTTAATGCCATGCCCTGTATTTCATCAGTTTCTGACAGCCCCCTTGGTAATCCTCACATTGCTGTCAGTCTTTCTGAACCAGTCTTGCAGAACCACTAACAAAAAAGAGACATGTTTCTTTATAAAATGAGTCATCACCAGTCTTCTTTTCATATCAAACATTTTCAGGGCACTTTGTAATATGATCCAATTTTCCAAAAATTTCCAGAAACTTCCAGAAGCACATCTTTCCATGAACGTACTTAGAACATTATATCTGATGAAAACAGAATGCAGTAACACAGGAGATTTCTTCAACATCATGTCATTTAAGCTCCAAAGTAAGAGGTAAAACAAAATAGGCTTAATGTCTTTTAAATGCATTAGTATTAACATACATCTCCAAAATATTTTACCAGGAAACAGAATGTTAGGAGAGACATAATAAAAAATGTTTTAAAATGAAAAATATTTTCTCCTCTACTAAATTGCTAAAATAATCCACATTGAAATAATCATGCATCTTGTGTCTCTCTAAAGATAAAAAAATGTAGAGACAGAAGTTCAGTGGGCTTGGATTAAATATTGGCATGCCACTTACTTCTAGACAATTTCTTTGAGTCTCTTATTGAATTCTCACAAGTTGTGAGATATCTCACAGTTGTGAGGTTATATACACGTGGAAGTTTTTCCCTACTGGAGAAGACTATATTTGTTGTACATGTTTTGAAAACAATTGGTTGAAGTCACTTGATTAGCTAGCTGGTAATCAGACCTGCTACTAAATGGTTACTTTAAAAGTAAGCATTTCAATTACTTTCCTAGCACCTTCAAATGGATTTAATAATTATACTCAGCCTAAATGACTGTCACAGAGGTGGCCAGAGGTTGAAGTGTATTATGGTGCCTATTGCAGTGAGCTTTATCATTTAATTGGAGTAATGCATGTGCAGTTGTGTACTTGTTAATTTGAAATCCATTTTGTTTTGAAATTAATATCATTGTATGACATTATGTAGATTACAAAGATTTAAAAAATACAGATTAAAGTATCAATGAAATAATGCAACAGAACATAATATCACATATAAAGAATTTTTTTTCTAAAATGTGTTATTTCTCATTCTCTATGAATTAGGTTTGTGACAGATGGGAGATAATATGGGTCATCTGGTGGTAGGAGGCTGCTATTATCACAAACACCTGTTCTGGGGGGTTGTCCTTCCACCTCCTCTTCGTAGTAGTAGAGAAATCAGTTCAAAGGAAATATTTCAAAAGAAAAAAAATAACAAACAACAACTACACAAGAAATGCAGGGACAATGGTATTCCTCATATTTTCATGTGGTTCTTCTTGTACTACCTAGTGCACAGCTGTGGGGTGGTGAAACCAATAGGGTCTTCTGACGAGAGTCAAAAGAACTGTGTTCCAGATCATTCTGCCATTTACTACCAGAGATCTTAGGCCAGAGATCTCTACCTCAGTGTTCTTAACTGTGCTTTGAGGGTTCACTGAAAAAACGTATATGAACTTTATAAAGCAATGCACAAAAGCATCAAAGAATTTTATTGAAGCAGGATTCCCCAGAATATGTCCCGTGCTGGTAATGTGTATTGT